ACTTTTTTGAGTCCGGGCCTTTTAGGACCGCAGGTGCTCCCGGGATCTGATCTATCCGGGCATGAAATTCTTTAGCATTTTAATCCATTCGAGAATTTATTTATCTTATACATCTCATGAGTTCGGCTTTGAAAGAATCGTTTGTGTTGTTTTCATTCTCAGATCTACTGCTACACCGCATACTTGATTATTTTGATTTAAACTCTCTTCTTGAAGTAACGTATTCGGTTCCCGTGTTTGACTAATTGGCACGCCAAGAGAGACTCGAAATCCACCATTTGAATTATTTGAAGCCCCCGGTATTGCTTGTTGAAGCTAAGTCATTATCCGGTTCTGACTTGAGAGATGATTCATGATTTTTCTTTGATGTGCTTTTAAAACTTTTGCAGTATTAACCACCGGCTCACCATCCATATCATCAGGGGTAAGACTCCTCTCATGTAGAGTATTTATTTCTACCCGATTAGGAGTTGACTCATTCCCATCGAGACGGGTTTCACTGGTTGAACCATCCTGTTGATTTCCATCATAAAAACTGTCCATGGGCTCGTTGTTGTTGTTGTTTGTCCCAATATTGGGCGAGTTATTGACATCATTGGGTGCCATAGCTGTTTTACGCTTACAACAGAAAAACTTCAAAGTATGTTAGTAAAAGATGAACAGATCAAAATAATACCATAATTGTCTATGCCCCATGGTGGGCGCCAAAATATTTACCCGTAAAATAGTACATTTAAATTTGTAACGTGGTTTATCGACACATAAATTAAATTGATCCGATAAAATAAATTAATCAAGAATAAATCGATTAAAATAAAGATAATTACAGAAAAGACAAGCCCGAGTTTAGAATATTTCCGTCGGGATTAAGAATAATTGAAAATCTTGACAACACTTGAATAAAGCTTGAGATAAAGAATATTAGTTTTTTGCTATCAGTATTTCTTGATCTCTTACAATAAAATGAAAGCCTCTATTTATACTAGAGACATGAGGTATATGGTCTACCAATTATGCCCCATTAATCACCGATATTAATGCTACAATAAAAGGTAATAAAAATGTGATAAAGAATAATAAAGCGTAATAAAGCCTAACAAAGACTAATATAAGCTGGAGGAATCTTGAGGTCTTCTGTAACGATCATATCTTGAATTGCTTCTTATCTGACCACAAATTTGTATCTGGCGTCAACATTTTATCCAGCCACATGTTTGTATTTGGTTTCACCATGGTTGAATCACTACTAATTGACACGTGTTGTTTCCTAATTCACCCTAGACTGATTTTTAACGTATACAATATTATTATAGAAAAATTTGATGTTTACCTACCCTCCACATACTAAATCTAAAATATAGGTTAGGAAGTTCCACTGGATTCAGAATATGTATCTTTTATTATTTATGTGGGCAGCGGCTACATACGTAGTGATGTCTCTAGAAGATACAGATGGTTTTATGAATTTTATTCATTCGATCTGAGAATATTCTTTTTTCTTGTGCTTAACAAGATTTTGACAAAGAAAAAAGTTAAAGAACTTTACTGCACATGGGATGTCCAAACAAATACTACATCAGTTTTTTTCCCGATATATGTTCATTTTCCACACATATAATATTTGAAAAAGTCAGTAAAGCTAAAAGAAATAGGACTCTAACCCTCTTTCAGGGAAAAGGAAAAGAATGTTTTCAAAGTTTGAAAACGGGAAATTAATGGGTTTGAAATATGCCGCAGTTCAGCTAATCAAATAATTCAAGGCAACTCAAGAAAATTTTGCTTCTTGTATGGCCAAAAATAGTCTATACGCACTTCAAAAATTAGACAACTACTCTTTTGAGAAAGTGATAAATACACTTTTTTGTTTGGTTTATTGTTCAAAATTTTCAAGCCGAACATATTGAAATTTCTATTCTTCTTCTATCACCGTAAAACTTTATATAATAAAACATTAAAACTAGTATATGTTAGGATGTTACATACAGTCAATGGATCCCACCATTTTTGACAAGGAGTATGCAATGGTAAGAAAAAAAGATTGAACACGTAAAATTTATATATGGATCCACCTCTTTGTAGTAGTGCATCTTCCGAAATTCTGAATCCACCCCTGAACATATCCTCTTCTTTTTTTTTTTATTCTACATCCTTTTTCCTTTCTTTATCAAATTTCTATCAATAGAATTACCTAGAAATTAAAATCACACAAATAGTCACCTTCCTAAAACTTGGCTAAAATTCCACCTTTGAAATTTCAAACCAACCGTCACACAATTAGTCACTTTGCATAAAACTTGGGCCAAAAATCTTACATTCGAGTTTCCAAGAAACAGTCATACAACCAATCACTTTCATGTTTTAACTAAGCATTGACATCAATGTTGAGAATTTTGTTTTATATTTCTAGAAGCTTACTCCAAATTGTCAATATACAACGTAACACAGAAAACTTCCCATGCTATTACTTTTGTCCTCACCTCTCTTTTTTTCCTAATAAAACCAGCCAATTCCACTACTCCACAAATAGCCCATCTCTGATTTCTCATCCTTTTTTCACTCTATAGAAAAGGAAATTTTTACACAAATAGCCAGTCATCACACAAATTTACATGGATACACAAGTAACAGAATGCGGTAACAGTAATTTGAAGGTACTGATGTTTCCATGGTTAGCATATGGACATATATCTCCATTTCTCAACGTAGCCAAGAAACTCGCGGACAAGGGATTCTTGATTTACCTCTGTTCTACACCTATCAATCTTAAATCTGTAGTTAAGAAAATACCCGAAAAATACTTTGTTTCAATACAGCTTATTGAATATCATTTACCCGAATCGCCTGAACTTCCTCCTCATTACCATACAACTAATGGTCTCCCACCCCATCTCAATCACACCCTTCAAAAGGCCTTGAAAATGTCCAAACCAAACTTCTCCAAAATCTTGGAAAATCTGAAACCTGATTTGGTAGTTTATGATATTTTACAGCAATGGGCGGAAGACGTAGCGAATGAACAGAATATTCCAGCAGTCAAGCTGTTAACTTCTGGTGCAGCTGTGTTTTCATATTTTTTTAACTTAGTAAAAAAACCTGAGGTTGAATTCCCTTTCCCAGCTGTTTATCTTAGGAAAATTGAGTTAGTAAAATTGGGTGAAATGATGGCAAAATCAGCTAAAGAAAAAGAATCTGATGATGTGGATCCTTTTACTGAAGGAAATATGCAAATTATGTTAATGAGTACCTCTAGAATTATAGAGGCAAAATACATAGATTATTTTATTGAATTGAGTAATTGGAATGTTATTCCAGTTGGTCCACCAGTCCAAGATTCAATGGGTAATGACACGGATGACGTGGAGCTTTTTGATTGGCTAGGAAAAAAAGATGAGAATTCAACTGTATTTGTCTCTTTTGGAAGTGAGTATTTTTTGACAAAAGAAGATAGGGAAGAGATAGCTTTTGGATTGGAGATTAGTAATGTTAATTTCATATGGGTTGTAAGATTTCCAAAAGGGGAAGAACAAAATCTTGAAAATGCTCTACCACAAGGTTTTCTTGAAAGAATTGGAAAGAGGGGAAAAGTTTTGAACAAATGGGCCCCACAACCAAGAATTCTCAATCATCCGAATACCGGAGGATTTATAAGTCATTGTGGTTGGAATTCTGTAATGGAAAGTGTAGATTTTGGGGTTCCTATTATAGCTATGCCTATGCATCTTGATCAACCACTGAACGCTAGGTTGACGGTAGAACTAGGAGTCGCGGTTGAGATTGTTAGAGATGATGATGGCAAGATTCATAGAGAAGAAATTGCGCAAGTTCTTGAAAATGTCATAGCTGGGAAAATAGGGGAAAATTTGAGGACAAAAGTTAAACATGTTAGCAAGAAATTGAAATCTACAAGGGGTGAAGAGATGGATGCAGTTGCTGAAGAGCTAATTCAATTTTGTAAGAATAGTAATAAGTGCAAATAATGTAATTCAGTTTACAAAGTTGTTTGTAAGTGAGGTTGAAACAACGAGAAATATAGGATCCAACTTAAATTTATCCTAATTCAACTTTGTGAGAATATATACTAGTAGTTAATTAGTGCAAATAATGTGATGTTGTAATTCAGTTTACAAAATTGTCTGTTAGGTCTGGTTATCTTCAAAATATTTGAGGTTGAAATAGTGAGAAAAATAGGATGCGACCTATAAATTTATCCTATTATTCACATTCTTAAAGTATAATTTTGTTTAGCTTTCGATATGAATACTTTTTCTTATTTAAACCTAGTGAAAAATATTTTTTTTGAGCCGAGAGTCTATCGAAAACAGTCTTTCTACCTTCACAAGGTATGACTAAGGTCTGCATACATATTACTCTCCTCGAACCCCATATTTTGGGAAAACACTGAATATATTATTATTATTATTATTATTTTCTATATGAATTCTCAATTCCTTAATCAATCGCATGCATCTTTAGACTCGACCAGAAAGTTTGTTAAGACTAAAATCTGCCTTTTAAACCGTCATTAAAATCTAGTCATTATCAAATATTGGAGTGGAGTATTATTTGTTTATTGTATAATTAACTATCAAGTTCCTCCAGTTCTTCAGTAGGGGGGAAATCTGTGTAATATGTCTTGAATATTATTGTAATATATTGGAAAAACCGAATTAGTGTCGTAATATTTTTAACAAGATATAGTGGATCCAGCTCTCAAACATAGCTAAACAAACAGTCGTGCATAGAGGTGGAGCCGGGATTTAAAGTTTATGGGTTCAAGATTTTAATCTTTTTAAGTTGCTGAGTTTTAAATTAATAATTTAATCATAAGACAAATACGGAGTTTGGACCAAAAGTAACCCGTACTTCGATCTCTAGCTCCGCCTCTCATTTGCGCAACTAGTCACTCTCCGTAAAACTTAGCTAAAAATCTACATTAATGGAAAATCCTAAGAACAATATAATCACACAACCAGTCATTTTCATGAGCTTCGCCTTGAAATCGACGACAACATTTTTTTTTCTTTTGTAATAGTAGTCCAAATCAACAACATATAAACATTGAAATCACAGGAAACTTCACATTTTTTATTTTTGTCCTACTCTCTCTTGTTTCTGATAAATCCAGTCAATTCCACCTCTGCTTTCTCATCCTTCTTTCACTCTAAAGATAAAAACATGAGTATTTTCTTTAAGAAGAAGAAGAAAGTTCTAACGAGTACAAATGTAACAGAACGTCGTAATACTAATTTGAAGGTACTGATGTTCCCCTGGTTGGCATATGGACATATCTCTCCTTTTCTAAACTTAGCCAAGAAACTCGCAGACAAGGGATTCTTGATTCGCGTATGCTCTACGCCAATAAGTCTTGAATCAATAGGTAAAGAAATCCCAGAAAAATATTCGGCTTCAATTAAGATTGTTGAGCTTCATTTACCAAAATTGCCCCAACTTTTAGCTCCTCATTGCCATACAACCAATGATCTTCCACCAAATCTTGATCACATTGTTCAAAAGGCCTTGAAATTTTCCAAACCAAACTTCTCCAAAATCTTGGAAAATTTGAAACCTGATTTGGTAATTTATGATATTTTACTTCAATGGGCTGAAGTTGTCGCGAATGAGCACAACATTCCATCAATCAAGTTCATAACTTGTGGTGCGGCTATATTTTCATACTTCTTTAATTCACTAAGAAAACCAGAGGTTGAATTCCCTTTCCCAGATATTTATCCTAAGGAAAGTGAGCTTGTTAAATGGGGTGAAATGAGTGCAAAATTTGCTAAAGAGAAAGATCCTGATGATGTGGATCCTTTTGCTAAAGGAAGTATGCAATTTATGTTGATGAGTACCTCTAGAATTATAGAGGCCAAATATATAGATTATCTCTCTGAATTAAGCAATTGGAAGGTTATTCCAGTTGGTCTACCAATCAAAGATCCAATGACTAATGACGCCGATGACGTGGAGCTCATTCATTGGCTAGAAAAGAAAGATGAGAATTCCACTGTTTTTGTCAACTTTGGGAGTGAGCATTTATTGACAAAAGAAGATATGGAAGAGATAGCTTTTGGATTGGAGTTTAGTAATGTTAATTTCATATGGGTTGTAAGATTTTCAAAGGGGGAAGAACAAAATCTTGAAGAGGTACTACCACAAGGTTTTCTCGAAAGAATTGGAGAAAGAGGAAAAGTTTTGGACAAATGGGAACAAAAATCAAGAATTCTAAATCATACAAGTATTGGTGGATTTATAAGTTATTGTGATTGGAGTTCTGTAATAAAGTGTTTAGATTTTGGGGTTCCTATGATAGCCATGCCTATATATCTTGATCAGCCAATGAATACTAGGTTGATGGTAGAATTGGGAGTCGCGGTTGAGATTGTTAGAGATGATGAGAGCAAGATTCATAGAGAAGAAATCGCGCAAGTTCTTGAAAGTGTTATACGTGGGAAAATAGGGGGAAATATGAGGACCAAAGTTAAAGATATTAGCAAGAATTTGAAATCTATAAGGGGTGAAGAGATGGATGGAGCTGCTGAAGAGCTAATTCAACTTTGTAAGAATAGTATTAAGATAAAAATAATGTGATGTTTGTTACTCCAGTAACAAAAGTTCAAAATATTGAGATTGAAATAATGAGAAAAAAAATAGAATGCTGCCCTTAAGCTATCCTTTCCCTTTATTCACATTCTATCATGAAATATGATTTGTGTAGAAGTTCATCTCACTAGCTAAGTAATGAAATCTCAATCATTTCTCTTTTGCTTCCATTCTAAAAAATACAAAGGTAAAAATATGGGCGGATCTCGTCAATAAGCTATCGGTATATTTGGACTCAATAGCTTCGACTTATGTTCTGTACTAGTTGAGAGTAGCCCGGGCTGTACCCGGGCCCAACATAGTGAAAATAGAGGAATACAATTATTTAGATATTTGGAATTTTTATTCAAATAAAATGTGTGATTATCTTGTTTTGTGTTTAGTTGAGTTATGTCTTTTTATTAAATATTTATTACCTTTTACCACTTGATCTTAATTAGGCAATGGCATTAGATCCCTGCTGAGCACGGACCCAACTTAACCACTAAGCTTAATCTAAAATTTTAAATTCTTCTATTTTTCCTTTTTATTTTACAATGTCATATTAGTTATGAAAAAATGCATTTCAAAATTTTCTACTATGAGAAGTTTCCATTCGGATCACAAAAGTGTTTATAGTTTAAGAAAATAATTTTTGTTACTAGAAGTTTTTTTTTAATTTCAAAGATAAATCTTGACAAAATCTTTTCATCTTTTTTGAAAAATGTATTACTATATCTTATTACTACTCAATATAACCTATTTTTTAGAACTGAATCAATGCTTATTAACTTCTTTCTTCGGTAGATATATTTTAGTATTTAAGAAAAGTTGAAGTACTTAAAATACTTATTATATCTCAAACTTTAAAGCAATGTATATCGTCTTCGTCTTCACAAATACTAATTTGAGTCTAACCCTCATCAAACTTTTTGATCGGTCAAAAGTTGGTAGACAGTAACAAAGTGTATATATTTTTTCCACAGACATGTGTTGATAATTTAATTTCGTCTCTTAATTTGCTATACTGGGTCCAACGGCTAAAATTCCTTTTTAGTTTTTTATCTCTCAATTTTTTCATTTATTTAAAATACAATCATTTATTTGTTTGCATCTAAAAAAGATCACTTAAACTTTCCCCTTAGTCTTGCAAACAAATGCGTTTTTCTTCTACTTATTTTTGCTGAAATTGTATTCACACATTTCTCTATGATAACTTTTTTGAAGTTAAAATAGTTTTAATGTATTCGTACATATGTAAAAAGCCAGTTTTTCCTTCTTATTCAAATGGATTTTTGGTTTTTCTGTCTTTTAAATAGTTAATAATTCAAATAGTGGTGTCCTCCAAAAAAACATTAATTCAAAAGAGGTCAGTAATATCTATTGTGTTTCTCTTTATTACTCGTTAGAAGTTAAAATTTCAGCATGTGTTGAAAAATTCTTTTCTTTACTCAGCATAATTAATAAATATAATAGTCATGTATTGGTAAAGAAAGGATCTTCTTTTAGCCACCCTTTTCTCCAGCTTGGATATTTTGGTTTACGGAATACATGACATCTCTTTTTTCTATCTGTTTTGATTTGAGATAAACAAATGTTCCATGAATATTTTTAGTCTTAGAAGAGAAACCACAATAAGTCACCATTAGATTTTATAAATTCATAATTGTATATCATCCACTTGCGATAAATAGTATCTTTTAATATGAATTAATGCTTTAATTGAGATTTTTAGAATAAGTTCTGATATGATACCGTCGTATATTCTCGTATCATAAAAAATGCAGTGGTTCATGTATAATTGTTCTCATTAGGAAAAACTTATTTATATAATATCAAGATCAGTCATTTGGTAAATGGATCAAATATATTACAAGATCTTGAGATACATAATCCAACTTATTACATTTTATATAACTTTTATACATTTATAAATGGGTGCCTATTTGCAACTCTTTCATTTCAATCCCTTGAAAAATGAAAGTGATGTGAATTTTGTATTTATTTTTATGCTGAATAAAATGACTTTATCCTCTATTTTGTATGTCCATCATTTTCATAGATTATTTATTAGTTAAATATTACAATTTATTTGTTTGTTCTCTATTTTCCTTGAGATTATACAAAACAAAATACAAAAATATAAAATATTTGCCTTGAACCATTCACTTACTTTAAAATTTGCATCAGACATTAGATATTAGAAATTCTATTAAGCATCTGACTCCACTTTATTTGTTATTATCAGAAGCAATACCCTTTTTTTGTATGTATTCCGTAATTTAATCGACTGACCTACTCCAAACTCTGTTATTCATTCAAATAGCATAAAATATAACTATGTATCATATTATAATATTAAAATGTAGTGTAATATATATAAGCAAACATAGAGTACACTAAATATTCGACAATTCGATACCAAAAAATTGACATCTCAAAAAATAAATTAATTTAGATATCGTATGAAATTATGCAATTCTTCAACTTAACCCGACACTATTCCGAGTAGCAATAACAATATAACAAGTAATTCAATTCGCTTTAACACTACACCTTCACAATAATATTTTCCCATATATTAATACAATAAGATATCGGTTTTAAAATTCATCAAAAATATTTAGTGTCATAAAATAGTGGGCATTCAGTTGTCATTAAGTATTGAATGTCTAATTATACATGTCGGATCCACTTAATTTGTTATAGTTAATGCTTTAATAGAAAAGAGAAACATGTGTATTAGAATTCAGAACTTCAATAAGTTGCAAATTGCTAGCAATGTGTAGAATAAACAACCAGATGGGGCCCAGTATTTAAGCCACCGGTGCTGTCAAGTGTCAACCAATGCACAAAAATGAGCCGCAACAACAGAAATTCCTCACGGATGCCAGACAGGCATGTTGATGAAACAGGATAGTGAAGAACCTCAACTGTTGCTTCTATTATAAGAGAATTTGTATTTAAAGTCCTCTTAATAAGTATAAATAATAGATTTTAAAAAGCAGTTGGATGCACAAAGTATCTCGCATTCACAGGAAGGGGTGTACGACCCCTAGAGCCTAGAGGTGTAATATTTCATAATCTACTCTAATGCAAGCATATTAGATTGAATATAGTAAAATTTTGAATTCAAACATGAACAATTCAAATCCTGAATCGATCGCTGATTAAAAATTATATAAACATTGTAATGGAGATGAAGATAATGAAATTAAACTCAATAAGTCCACTGCATTTGTTACGTTGCTTATAGTTAATGAAGGCGGGTATGAAAGAACCAACGAACAACCGAAAGGTGTATCGCATAGATTAAGTACTTCTACTTTAAATTTAAATAGCAAAACTATGAAACTTAATCCAACTTACTTTTGAGAAATCTAAACCTTCACTATAAGTCATTTTCAGGACGTCTTATCCTACACTGCCGACCAAATTATTAACCTAAGAGCCCGTTTGGGTGGGCTTATTTTAAGTGACTTTTAAACATACATCATTAGTTGGAATTCTACCTTTTGACTTTTGATTTCTTTTTTTTGTGTGATCATTTTAGCTTAAAAATAAGTGTATAAAAATATTTTTTTACTTTATTCAAATAAGCCAATCCAAACGGGCTCTAAAGTCTTGCCCACCATAACCCAACACATCCATGCACCCTAGGAATCAATTACAAAACCGAGCAAATCTAGTTTATAAGTTACGAGTTTATGTTAACTCAGTAATTTTTTGCTCATAAGCAGTATATATATAAAGACTAACTAACTATTTATGAATATTTGATAGTAAACTCAGTCATTGTCGTATATTAACTCGAGATTGCCGTATATTACTCAGTTATTAAAAAATCGTTGTATATTTATAAATAATTCATTATGTATGGTGTTTGTCTTCTTGACCGAGTAATTAGACGCATACAAGGAGGAAAGTTAATAAAGTACACAAAAACACAAAAGCAAAATACAACTTGTATAAAGATTTTTTTTCCGTGGCTGATGAGTCTGGAAATTGACCCCTACTTGCTCCTAATGACAGCAATAATCTATATCTATCTATATTATATTAAAAAGAGAATAGTTTGCAATGTGGTTAAGCCAAGTGGCAAGCTAAAATGAAGTCATTTGGCAATTTTAAGACAACACAAAAAATTTGGATTATAAATGGAAAAATATTTAATGAAAGTAGTAGTCCAAGATTTTTTGTAAATTGAATTTCATTCTTTAATAAATCAAAAACAATTATTGGAACATTTAAACTAAAAATGTTTTCTTTTTGAGAATCTGTTGGACGTACACAAAGAGGGATACAACTTCCATTAAGCAAACAAATATATTATAGCTATAGATGTCTTTACTTAAATTTGTGTATATTTCAGTTATGGTAGGTATCATTTTTTGAGAAAGAATCAACTAAAATTTCGTTTTGTATCTTACACATTAATTTTAAGTTGAAATAATAATTTTATATTTAGTACAAGCTTTGTATCTGACCTTATTTGCTAACAATATACATTAATATAGGTATCATATACATTAATATAAGTATTTTTAATTAAATTTTGTGTATAATTTATTCTTTTTTAAACTAAAAATGTTCTCTTTTTGAGAATATGTTGGACGTACACAAAGAGGGATGCAATTTCATTAAGCAAACAAATATATTATAGCTATAAGTATCTTTACTTAAACTTGTGTATAATTCAGTTATGGTAGGTATCCTTTTTTGAGAAAGAATCAATTAAAATTTCGTTTTGTATCTTACACATTAATTTTAAGTTGAAATAATAATTCTATATTTAGCACAAACTTTGTATCTGACCTTATTTGAACAATATACATTAATATAAGTATCATATACATTACGATAAGTATTTTTAATTAAATTGTGTATAATTTATTTATTTTTAAACTAAAAATATTCTCTTTTTGAGAATATGTTGGACGTACACAAAGAGGGATGCAATTTCATTAAGCAAACAAATATATTATAGCTATAGGTATCTTTATTTAAATTTGTGTATAATTCAGTTATGGTAGATATCCTTTTTGAGAAAGAATCAATTAAAATTTCTTTTTTGTATCTTACACATTAATTATAAATTGAAATAATAATTTTATATTTAGTACAAGTTTTGTATCTGACCTTATTTGCGAAGAATATACATT